AATTAAAAAAAAAAAAAAAAAGAAAAAAAAAGCGTAAAGAAAAGAAAAACTACTACTATTTTAAAGTGTTATTATGTAAAAGGGAAGTGAACTCAGTGTTAGTGTAGTGTACATCGTTGTTCGATTGCTATTGTATGCAAATAAATTTAAAGGAAAGAGTAAAGGAAAGGATATCTATTCAAATAAAGATAATAATGGCTATTTATATTACGATGGTGATGATAATGTTACCGAGTGGTTTATTAATAAAAATAAACTTTTATTTTATATATTTATATATAAATTGTTGCAGGACGATGCCTAGAGACATTGTGAGTCCCTTTAAATATACAACATATGTATATAAATCAAATTTATTTGTACAATTTATACATATATAGATGCATGTCGTTTTAAATTCGTCCAACTCCTTAACGATCATATGTTGCTTATCAAATCGATTATATTTAGATTGAACCCCTTTAGAATTTAAACCCCCTATCTCAAGTTATATAATAAATATATAAAATTTAAAGTCCTGACAAAATTGACTCTTGATTTCATTTCATTCGCTTGCTTCAAATTGACAAAACCTAATTTTTGCCTTCACCTTCTATATAAATGGAAATGTGCACACACATTTATGTGTACATATTATATATATATTATATTATCCCATTTATGTATTCATATCGGTTGTCTTATCAACTTTATATCATTGAGGCAATCTACTTTATTACATCAACCATCGTATTAATTGAGATCGATTGGATTCGCATGCCTCTTTTTAATGAACCTTTGCTTACCTTTCCGACTACCTACGCATATATCGTTTGCACTTATTTCAGTATATTATTTTTTAACTGAGCTATTTTATCGGTTAAAGTTTTTAGGTGGAAAATCCGGAAATTAAATGATGAACCTGCTTAAACTTTTGAAAGACTCTCTTATCGTCTTTTCCACATATACTGTTACTTTACCGCACTCTTAACAGCGTTATCTTAAAGGGTATACATGTGGATTTAATAGTAATGGCGGCGGATAGATTACAGCAATAGCGATGTCTGCTTCAAAACTTACCTTACTTTACTCACCTACCGATTTTTATAACAATCACTTATAGAGGAAATGGCAAATGGGACAAGGGACAAACGATATATATGTAAAAAATTTACCCATACATCTATTCCTAATATACATATGTATTAAATATTTCCATGGTTGTTGAAGACTATATGAATATCTCTAATAGATGGACATGTTTAAATGGTACCATCAACTCATTATTATATTAGGTGTTTGCATATATTTTGATCATTTGATTGATCAAAATATTTTCCATTATTTCGTTCCACTTCTTCCCATCGTTTTGGCAACGCGGCGATATCGTGTCGAGGGAACGATATTGTTTTGACAGCGATGCAATCATCGATCCAACCAAGCCATGCTGTATCACCCTGAACAAGTGGTAATAAGAAGACAGTATGTGTGATGAGTGCGCTACGAAGGTCAGAACTTCCCATTCGAGCTGCAACAGTGTATCCTTGACAACTTTTGCAACGTGTGGCTTAGTATTCGTTCAATTGTCGTCGATACACATCTGCGTTAACAGTTTTCTTTTGTTTTAGCAGCTCGTAATAAACCCCACCTTGCTGATCCCACCATACGCATAGCAAAACTTTACACTGACGAATATTTCGTTTCGTTGTCGATGTGGATGGGTCGCCTGGAGCCTTGTAATAGATCCACTTTTCATCGCCATTCCCTGTATGCTACAGAGAACTCTTCTGTTTTTCCTGGCAAGCAATGAAATCGCGACGTTAAAATGGCTCGGAAGGACATTTTCACCCAATTCGTACGGCCAACATTTTCGCTTTTTTCGAATCTCTTCATCAACTGGCCAGCTGCCCGAAAGTTCTTTGATAGTTTGAGCCGTCCAATAAGTCTTGCAATTGATTTTTTTCGAGCTCCGGCTGGATCCTTTTCATTGACATGAAAATCATCACTTTTAAATCGTTAAAGGCAAAAGCGACAATTGAAGTAGGATGGAGCAGGATCCCCCTAAGTTTCCAAAAGTGCTTGATTGGCTTCGACAGCAGATTTTTTCAAATCAAGTAATGAATGTTGAAAATGCAATTTTGAGCAATTTCCATGATTAGCGTCTGTATACGCTGAACAACAACATAATACTAAATGGAAAAAAGTTATTTTATGTAGGGAAAGGCACAAAATCATCGAATTCAACCATTGTGTGCATTGATACTTGGCATTACTTTATCATTTTCTTCAGTGCATGTCGCTGATGCAGGAAACGACCAAGCGCCTATTGTCCTATTGGCATCTCTAGGCTGTTTAAAGTCTTTAAAAATAAGGTTTAATTTAATATGAGGATGTAAACAACGTTCAGAATGCTATTCCTTTTTTTTTTTTTTTTTTAAAGCAGCAAGAGTCGTATGGGGTAGGAACTTTTCTCTAGAATGGAATTTACCACGGTTATGCAATAATTCAAATCTGGTTAATAGTATATTGATGCGGATATGTTATTGAATTTTATTGTTTTGCTTATGTCATCTGGAGATAAACATTCAGGGATTAGGCGTTGGGCTTCCCATATAAATGATCTAATACTAGATCAATTCTGAAGTCTTTTGCTTTGTTCGTTTTTATCTGTGAAATATTTATTTATTTTTAGATCATTCATTCTCCTTTAAATAGGACGTCTGTTTTTATTCGCAGCAATATTAATTAATGTAACTGGCGATAGATGTATCGATTCAGCAACGAGAGATAACAATAAGTCCGTTATTTTATTTTCTCTCTTTTCTCAAAGTGTATAATTTCGATAATCTCAGTGACACACATGTTGCTGCCCTTGCTTTTCTAAGCACATTGCTGAGTAACACACAAGGACATAGGACTTGCTGCAGGTACCTTAGCGATTTACTAAAGTAGGTATTTACTTATGTCACAATCTATTCTTATACCCACCACTGTACTTAATTTGTTGTCTTCCATAATGTATGTAATATTGGTCTGCGTGAAATTCCGAGTTAATTTAGCCATGTCTGTCCGTCTGAGTGATGTGTGTCGTTGGCACTCAACTGGTCGCAAACATGAAAATGTCGACTTCAAAGTTGGGAGAAACATTGGAGATCTCTGCACTCAGGTTGGTCAACAAAATGAATCAAATTGGTCTGAGCAGGAGCGCGCAGTGGAGCGTAAACTGAAAGCGAATTAATTTTCTTTGACAAATATTTTTGGATTTTTCCTCGTTATCTGAAAATTATTAAAGTTAGAAGGCTGAAATTTTCCACATGTACTTTACGAAACACTCTACTCTTAAGGTTTGAAATGGGAAACATATATACATACTTGATCAGCATCAAATTCTAAATCATTAGAAATTGGAAGTTGTGTAAGTGAGCTGAGAACACCTATATTTTTTAAAAAGAATAAAAAATTGTTTTCCTACTCATTACTTATAAGCTATAGTGATGCTGTAGCATTTGTGCATAAATATGGAAAAAATTCACCAAGCCTATACAATATTATAGTGTATCAAAATTTAGTTGTTTTTTCAATACCTTTATAACGCGCAGAAACGAGCTTCAAAACCCCTATAAACTATATATAAATTCTTGGCCAGTTTCAAATTTGGAATCAGATCTAAACACGTTCGCCTATTCGTCTCTCCGTCTGTCTGTTTGTGCAGCTTTGTAGTATTTGTGGTAAACATTCGCCCGTTAGCGAAAGTGAAGATATCGCCTACAAATTTGCAAAACTATTTGCAATTGACCCAAACTTATCAAAGGCCACGCCCACAACGCCCACATGACTTTACGACAAAAACTTTTACTTTGAAAATAGAAGAAATCGGCTGCGCCCACTTCACATTGTAGAACATTAAAAATTTTGCTCTACCCCTTCTTTTGTTTTTTTTAAGCTAACTGTAATAGGTATAAAACATTTGATCTCGATCGAATTTAACTTTCTTACTTGTTTGATTATAGTTTTAATTTTTGTATTTCATCAGACTTGGTGTCACCTGGCCTTAATTTATGTTATTGTAAAGTCTTATATAATATGACTAGGTTTCGATACAACAATAAGGTACACATTGCCTTAATTTATATTAGGTTGTTCGGATTTTTTTGCGGTTTTTCATTATGAAATAAAATCATTTTTTTTTTTTTTTTAGATAAGGTATAAACTTTATGAATTTATATGTTTGTCATTTTGTTCAGTAACAAGCTACCACTTTTTTCAAGGAACTTCATTATCACTTCCCTCACCAATTTTCTGCTCTTTCGAAGCAAAAAAATTTTCCATATTTGAATTTACACGAAGGAGACGGCAATCTGATGGTGCAATGTCAGGACTATATGATAATATGTGGTAATACCTCTCAGCTCCAAGTTGTGATGATTTTTGATGGGTGAGGAAAGACGTATGACCTCTTACATTGATGTAATGAAAAACCATATTTTTTTGTTGGACCGATCCTGGGCGTTTCTGCTGTCAGCCTTCGTTCAATTTGTTTAATTGTGCATAGTATAATTCAAGAAGCGGCAGAAGCTCATAATACGCAATCTCTTTATAATCCCATCATAATGACAGCAAAATCTCTTCTGCATGGATATCGGGGTTGGTTGTTGTTGTTTGAGATAGTTTTGACCATGATCGATTGCGTTCCACATTCCTGTATAGAATCCTTTCTTCATCAACAGTTAGAATTTTCTTCAGGAATGGATCGTTTTGGTTTCGTTTCAAGAGCATATCGCGGATATTAATGCGTTGTGTTAAGTGAATTTCTTTTAAATCATGTGGAATCCAAATATCCACCTTTTTTATGGAAGCACCAATAGCTAGTTTTGAATGAATTAAATTTTTCAGCTTCAATCATAACCCGTAGAAGGTCGTCATCGATGGTATTCGGACTATACTAGAGCACGGTAAAGCTTTTACTGAAAAACTTTCCAGAATGAAATTTCGCAAGCCAATGTTGACAAGTACTTGCTGCTATAACATTAGTTCCATACAAAACCCATATTCTTTTATATGCTTCTGCATGTGTGTGTTCTATGTAATTTGTAACAAAAGACAATTAAAATATCTCTTATACTTTCGCATTGCGATCTCGCTACTATAGCACAACCGATCACTTTGAAACTTTTTCACAAAATAAACACAAGTTTCCTCTACATAACTATACATACCAATGTAATTAACCCTACTTATCTGTCTAGTTAACTAAAAAAGTTATTTTAATCTGGTGTCGATAAAGACCCCGAGAAATTTCCGGATTACCTTATATTACATATATATCTTAAAT